TTTACTAAAAAAAAAAAAAAGGAGTGTGAGCTCAGTAACTTGCACAGCAGAATCACTGGAGGGCTTTTTCAAACAGACTGCTGGGCCCTGGGTGGCACATATGGTTTGTGCTCAACAACTATCTGAAAGGTTGGTGGTTTGAAGTGCCCACTGATACCATGGAAGACAGGCCTGGTGTCTTCTGTAAAGATTACAGCCAAGAAAACCTTGTAGAGCAGTTCTACTCTCTAACACGTGGGGGAAGTAGTTGGAATTGACTTGATGGGAATGGGTTTGGTTTGGTTTGGCTGGGTCCTAGCACATGCAGAGGAGCTCTGGTAGCGTAGTGCCTAAGGCACTTGACTGCTAACCAGAAGTCTGGCGGTTCAAACCCACCAGCCACTCCTCGGAAGGAAGGTTGAGCAATCTACTTCCATAGTGATACCGCCTCGGAAACCCAAGGAGTCCTTATGAGTCGGGTCCAAGTTGGCAGCAAATAACAACCAACGACAGCCCATTCAGAGTTAGCAAAAATTCAGTAGGTCTGGGTTGGGGCCTGAGAATGGATTTTAACAAGCACTCTGGGTGATTCTTAAGTAAGTTCAGGAAATGCAGGAGGAAATACAGGTACCCCAACCGGATACCACACTCTGCAGCTTGTTCCATGGGCAGGCCTCAGTAATCCCAGGTATAAAGGGAGGAACTCAAATGAAATGCCTGCAACTTAGTCCTCATAGGTCTCCAAATGAGTGTGGACTCATTCCCTGGGGGCTGTATACTTCCCTGGGGGACTGACCCTTACACAGAGCAGCTGAGTCACTACACAAGGTCCCTGGCACATGGACACTATGCTGTCAACATGAGTTGAATATGGTTCTGCACACAAGAGCTTTCTGTGACTATAGACCCTCTACCTAGTTCACCACACTTGCATGGGAATAACGTCTGGTGTTTTCCAAAATTCAAACATCAGGCCTAGCCTCCAAGGCTTCAGATGTGCTGCCTCAGCTGAAGTTTTTGAGGGAAATTTCCAAAGAGTAATTTTCTGGCTCCTACAAACATTCTGCACTCAGGTAATCTCATGGGAATCCATTGTCCTAAGTGATCTGAGTTCTGCAGTTCGTAAAACAAACCACAAATCCCTTCTTTGAAACACTATGAAATGAGACTTCAAGTGGAAGTGCTCAGGGTAGCTGGCCCTCAGTGATCCCAAAAAACCAAACCAGTTGCTGCTGAGTCTATTGCTACTCATAGCAACCCCATGTTTGTCAGAGTAGAACTGTGCTCCATAGGTGGTTTGTTTTTTTTTTTTTTAACTTTTTATTGTGATTTGGTACAATTTTACAAAGCAGATTTGTTTTACATTCAACAGTTAATACACATTTTGTTTTGTGACACTGATTACAATCCCCATAATGTAACAACTCTTCTCCGACCTCCCTGTGGTTACTCCTTCTGTGTCCTTACATATGCATTCCTGCCTGCCTAGCTTTCTCCCTGTGCAAATGCTGCAGTTAGAGACTGGTGAAAACCCTGAGATTATGCCCAAGTCACCCTTCAGGCCTGGAATGGACTTACTCCCTTGGCTGAACACTCAAACAACAGACAGGCCTGAGCTGAACAACTAAACCAGGGAGATGTACTCCTTAGAACAATCGCTAGGGTTTTCAATGGCTGATTTTTCAGATCATCAGAACTTTCATCCAAGGCACTTCTGGGTGTACCTGAACCTCCAAACTTTCAGTTAGCAGCTGAACATGTTAACCGTTTGCCCTGCCAGGGACTCCCAGTCTTAGTACTCGCTGGATATTGGTGGTGGAAGTGGTCAATCTGCATGGCCTGTGGGAGGGACAGGGCAGCTGACTGGGCAGGAGAGGCAGGGCCTGTACAGAGGCCCTGGTAGGAGTGAGTAGGGCTCTGGGCACAGGCGGCCCTTCCCTCCCAAGCTGATGGCTGGTCTTTGGGGACAGGTGCAGCTGGAGGTTCAGAAGAAGTGGCAGCAGTGGCACCTCCGTGAGTTCCCCCTGCGCCCCATGATGCCCAGCTCCTCCTTCAGCAATGGCACTAGTGCCCTCACCCACAGCACGAAGGCTAGCCCCTCAGAGCAAAGCTGGGGCACCTGCTGAGCCAGTGTCATCTGAGAGGCATGGACAGAGGCCAAGAAGGGAAGAGTCCAAGGATTACAGAGGGGCAGAGATGTAAGCTCTGAGACTGTTTCTGGACTCTCCCCAGTCCTGCACCAAGCCTGTTCCCAGGTCTGGGGCCCAAACTACAATTCTGGCTTTAGGTGACCCTGGAAAAATGCTAGATGTTGGCTCCCTAGCTCTCCTACTTCCACTTGCAGGTGAGAGTCGGGAGGTCATCTCTGTGCACCTATGGACTGCTCCTGGCATAGAAAAGGCAGATTCCCATTTGGCAGGGCTAAGAAGCTGTGCCTGGACTCAGCTTTGATGAGGTCTGTTCTTTGTAAAACCTATTAATCCAGATACCTTTCCCAGGTGATCTCTATGGACTCTGTGTGTCTCAGAATAAAAGTTTTAAAAATCATTACAGAAATCAGCCCAGCTCAGGAAGGGGACCTGCCTAGACAAAGGAAGGGCACACACCGAAGAAACCCAGAATTCACTGGGTGGGGGATTTAGGGGGATCCAGAATAGAATGAAATGGGTGAACACAAAACCTCACCAGCTATCAGCAGAAAAAGACTCAATGTACAAAATTGTAGCTCTGCCAGCAAGCATGGAAATCTCCACTGATCTCCAGCCCCCCTCTACCTCACTTATCCCCAGAATGGTGATTAATCATTACACAAGGTCTCCCCCTTAGCCTCTGGAAAGGCTGGCTGGTCCAACAGGTCAAGATCCATGCTCTTGAATAACAGGCATTTTCTAGGATGAAAATGGTAGCTTGAGACTGTGAGCCTTGCAAACAAAATGGACACACACACTCTCTTGAGGAAGGACTGTATATCAGAAGTCCTGAAGGAGAAAGGAAAGCCATCTTAAAGCAGGATTCCCACAGGCATAGTCCCAAGAGGGGCAGCTGCTGGAAGCCAGGGTTACCCAGGGATCATAGGGCCCCCAAAAGGCAAGAGTCAAATGAAGTCCAATTCTGAGGGGACCCTGAACTCTACCTCTTTGATATGAACAATGGTGGAGCCAGGGAAACAACCACAAAGGGCCTGTGTGCTGGTGGAAGAAAGTCCTAGGCACTGATTGGACCCTTAGCTGGAAAAGTGATCCCCTCTTAGCAGCCCTGGGAGGCTCCAGAAGCCCCCCACCCCACAGACCAGCAGAGAATCAATGAAACAGATATGAACTGTACTTGGCAATACAACTGGTCTTGGCACCAGTTACCCTATCTGCCTCCAAATCTATTCCAGTCCTGGGAGGAAGGATTCAGGAAAAGAGTTTTAAAAATGTTTTTTGTCTTCTAAAATCAACATCCTAATAACTTGGCTAAGCCTGTGCAGCTGGTGGCACTGAGGCACCTCCTGGCCTGTGGCCCTGCAGACCAGCTATAAAGGCCTTAGGGCCATTTCAGGCTAACCACCCAAAGCTTAGTGGCTAAGATGCAACAGTTTCAAGGTTATTGTCCAAACCCTACACCAATCCAAGGTCAAATTTCAGAAAAGTCCCATTTTGACCATGCTTTCTTGTAAACCTGATATCCCCAGAGGGGGGTTCTAAAATTTCCTTGAATGGTCCCAGGGATGTGTGATGCTATTGATGTGAAGGCCACTGAGGGCATTCAGGAAGAAGAGGAAGGAGGCTGTGAACTCGCACCAGAACATCAGGGTGAAGCCGACGAGCGTGACCTGGTTCCTAAGGAGGATCACGAAGCTCAGGAGCCCCCCGGAGGAGAGGATGAAAGAGACGAAGAGAAGCACGGAGCCCATGGCCCATTTGCGCCGTGAGTGGAGGTCCTCACACACCTGGGATACCATGAGGAGCTCCAGGCCAAAGATGGCTGCCACCACGGCCAAGGCACCCACGCTGCGGGCCAGGCCCATGCCCACAGCCAGCCCAGGCACATGGGCCTGGTTCAGGTCTCGGAGGCAGTGTAGCCCACTTTGGTTGGCAGTGGTGCAGAAGTGCCACAGCCCAAAGAGGCGGTCCTCGGCCAGGAGCCAGTGGCCATCACAAATGGAGATGGAGGAGAGGACCACAGCCAGGGCAGCACACACGATAATCAGGGTCCGGACAAAGGATTCAAAGAAGGACCTGTGGGGCCTCCTCAGGGCCAGTGGCCTCTGGGCCTGCAAGACACATAGGATGGAGAACTGCAGTCAATGTCATGAAACAAAATGCGTATGAACTTCTGTATGGAAAATGAATTTGCTCTGTAAACTTTCACCCAAATTACAATAAAAATTTAAATAAATAAAAACATTATCCCCATAAAATAAATAAATAAGACACACAGGAGGCAGCCATGTCAGAGGAAGGGCCCATTCACACCCTTCTAACTCTTCAGGGGACTCCCCTGACTCCCTGTGGGAATCACTTTCTCTTTGACATGCCTTCCAACTTCCCATAACTGTAGTTTTTCTCTGGTCTTATGTGAAGCCTGGAGCACCCAACTTTTATTTATAACTTACCCATCTCCTCTTCATGTTTGAAGACATGGCCCAGACCTATCCTCTTTGGGGAAACCCCTAGCCCATTCTGCCTGTCCTCGGTCTTCCATTCCCAACTGTTCTGGTTACTTAGTGCCACTTAGACAGGAATATACCACAAATGGGATGGGCTTAACAAACAGGAATTTATTGTCTTACAGTTCAGGAGGCTAGAAGTCCGAGTTCCAAGTGCCAGGCTCTAGGGGTTGTGTGAAATCCCCTCGACCTTGGGCTTCAGCTTTGCCTCTTGATCCCAGCCCACTGAAGCTAGAGGCATTTCTTCACTCAAGCAGCTACTGGATGCTGAAGCTAACAAACCCAAGGTCAACAAATAAAATGGCACAGTCCTAATGTTACCAAATCACACAGCAGGCCATTAATTCAAGTCTATTAAGTCACAATTTAAGTCTATTAAGTCACTTATTGACTCAAGGTCAGTACAGCATGGCAGGCTGTTGAACGACGACATGGCTACATGCAGGGTCCTAGCGTGCCATAGGCTAGAGACTATCCCCAAGGCTTCTCCTTATATACAGGAAGCAGACCACATCCCAAAGGCAGCTACTCTGCTGCTTGTGGTAGATCCCACCATGGAGCTGATTGTCAGTCTCATCATATGCAATAACTACCACCAGCTGCCCAGCCACTCAACCAGGCCCAGCCAAGTTGACATACAAATTTAACTACCACACCAACCTATAAGCATTTACTGTTCAGTTATTCATCAGGCAATAAGAGTTCCCTGACCTTTGTTTCTTTAACAACTTTTATTTTATAATGGGTAGTGGTTGTGTAGCTGACCTCAAATCATGGCAACCCCAAGTATAATAGAATGAAATGCTGCCTGGTCCTGCATCATTCCCATGATGGGCTGTGGATTACTGTTGTGATCCAAAGCGTTTTCACTGGATGATTTTTGGAAGTAGATTGCCAGGCCTTTCTTCCTAATCTTATCCTGGAAGCTCTGCTGAAACCTGGTCAACTTCATAGCAATATGCATGCCTCTACTGACAAACTAGTGGCTCTTTTTGAGGTGCAATGGCCAGGAATTGAACCCGAATCTCCTACATGAGAAGTGAGAATTACCACTGAAGCACCACTGCCCTAATACAATGGGTAAGAAACCCAAATTCTTTTGCGCCAGCAAATCCCAGTCAGTTCTGAATTCAAAAGCCTGTCTTGGCTGGCTTGTGTAACCTTTCACATTTCTTTGCAAAAGAATTCCTGCCTGGCAAGATTTGGAAGGTAGTATGAGTGGTGGCATAGTGGTTAAAGCATTCGGCTGCTAACCAAAAGATCGGGGGTTCAAATCCACCAGGGCAGCTCCATAGGAGACAGATGAGGTGGCCTGCTTCAATAAAGATATACAGTCATGGAAAGCCTATAGGGTAATTCTACTCATTCCTATAGGGTTGCTAGGAGTTGGGATTGACTCAATGGCAGTGGTTTTTTTTTTGTTTTGTTTTAATGAAACACCTGGAAAATAATATATCAATACAAGGTTAATTTCCCCTCAATTTCTCTAGCATTTTCCCAGCGCACTTCTGCCTTTATCCTAATCCCCATACACTTGATTCTGCACTTCCCACATTTGGTCCAGGACTTCCTGTTTTCCTCAGTATTAAGTGATATTTGCACTTTGCCCTTTGGTCTTGCTTAGCCTGTACTGCACCCAGAACTTGCTGACCAAACTATCTGTTCTAGCAGCTTTGGGTGTGGGAGGCCACTGAGATTTTCCTTCAACCTCTGGTTCCAGCATCAGAAGAGTACACCACCACCCACTACACCTGTCTCCGGGCAAGCCTGGCTAGGTGTCTAGTGAGTTGGCTCTTATCTCACAATCCTGAGTCAATGCCAACCCCGAACGCAAAAGAAATAAAAAATTCAAAGGATAAAATTCTATACTAGGACTTATAAGCCCTGCATGACCTGGTTCTCCTGCCTCCCTCTCCAACTTCATCTCCCAGTGCCACTTCCCACTCCCCTCAGCCAAGCAGTCCTCTTTCCATGCCAAAGAACAAGCCTTGTGCTTTTCTTGCTTAGACATCCTCCACCTGAAAGCTCCTTCTGCCCTTCCCTTTTTTCTGTCCTTCATGTCTCAGCTTAAATGTCTCCTCCTCAGAGGTCTTTCCTGCTTACCCAAGCCAGAGTAGGCCCTCTCTGGTCATTCTTTTACCACTTGTCTTGGAGTTGACTCGGACTCCTTGTGAACCCACGTGTGTCAGAATAGAATCAGAGGGATTTCAGTGGCTGGATTTTTTTGGAAGCAGATTGCCAGGCCTTTCTTCCTAGGTGTCTATGAGTGGACTCGAATCTCCAACCTTTCAATTAGCAGCCAAGCATATTAACCTTTTCCACCACCCAAGGACTCCTCAACTACAACAGATCCCCTGTTATCTGCTTGAGACACTGGGGATCTAGGAATCTGTATTGAATTTCATCAGAAAAATAAAGCAAACTTTGAAAACCTCTATATTAATCTACCAACCATTAAAGACATTTTCTTGGGTGGGTTTCTTAACCTCTTTGGCCTTCATCTCATTTATAAAATGGAGTTGGTGACCTCTGCATGAAAGGAGTAGCCATGAAGGCACCTGGCCAGGTTACAACACCCCAGAGATGCATGCATTCCTGGGATGGAAGATCACCAGATGCAGAGAACAAAAGTCACAAAACCATAGCACCCAGAAACCTTTTGACCCTAGAAATCAGACTGTCTGCAGAGCAGGCACTGTCTCTTCCTTAGCCCCACCTATGCTGGGGACAGGGTGGACTTTAATCTCCAGGCCCTCAGATATTACATTAGGATCAGAAAGAGAAGACAGCTGAATGTTAGTTCATCCTTTTCTCTCTCCCACCCCAACCCAGTGCTTCATTTAAACAATAAAACTCCCAAGGATTAAATGAGTACATGTATATAAAAGTGCTTGGCATATGATCAGACTCGATTCATGAGAGCTATTAATATTATTAGTAATAACATACTTTGGAGTCTTCGCCCCTGACCTTCTACAACAAATACCATGCTGCCATTATCACTTCCACTGCATGAGGTCTCTCCTCAACCAATAGCACTCCCAAGTAGACACCCTGGGATCTTCCCTACTCATTCCCCATATCCCCAACCTCCAACATGTCTCTCATATTTGCCACCCCCCATCATCCACTGTGCCCAGGCCCTGATCATCATTATTAGCCTAAAATCACTTTAATTTGAAATTACTTCAAGTCTCCTAATGAGTCAACCTGCATCTCTGTTCCCTGAAGCCCTGTCTGACCCAGTCCGCTGGTGTGATCCCAGCCCATGGGTCATGAGCCACACTGCCCACTTTTGAGCTGTGTTGGATCTCTGGCAAGTTATTCTCATCCATTCTCATCCTCTCTTTCAGTCTCTCTCTTCCCCTCTGTTTCTTACAATGGATGTAACAGTACCTATGTCATATGGTGGTAGTGGGATGAAATGCATTACTACATGTGAAGTACTTAGAACAGTCCTTGCAGAGGTTAAATGCTCATTGAGTGTTAGGTACTATTACCATGCAATCATGGCACTCTTCCCCTCCTTGGGAAGGGCTAAAGCTCCCCAGCTCAGAGTAGAGTGCTGGGCTTGACCTCATTTATTCCCCATCCTAGCCCCATCCCATGATCCTCCTCCACTAACAATTCCATTCCCCTTCCCTTGCTATCAGCTTTCCGCCTCCACCGAGCACCAAGTCGTCCTCCCCAGCTAAAGTTAATCTGCCTGCACTTTTGCACCTCTTAATTTAGCACTCACTTCCCAATACCTCTTCTAAATCCTTGTTTACAAGTCTCTCTCCCAGATAGGACCTGTAAACTCCTCGCAAGGAGGGAATACACCTGATCCTACCCTCCAGTCCCTGCTTGTCCCTTCTTCCCAAAATCTGTTCATGAGTCAAGACCAGGCCCCCAAACAGAGGAGAAACTCACTGCACCCAACTCCCTGCCGAAAAGCATTCCTGAGATGGCCTAGAGATGGGTTATTCTTGTCACGGAAAAAAAAGGGGTGAGAGATTTGGAGCCCAAAGTCCTGCATTTGAATCTCAATTTTGCAGCCTATCTGGCAGCCTTGAGCACTGCCTCAACTTCTTGGCCTCAGTTACCTTATCTACTACATGGGCGTAGCAGGATCTACCTGAATTGTTGTCAGTGGGGATCAGAGGACTTGAAGGTAACTAAGTCAACGCCATGGGCTTCTGTAATTACCAGGGCAGTCCTTTCGAACTCCGAGGCGAGCTGGAATGCTTGAACATAAATGAAGCTCGCCTGCAGGGTAATAGACCAACCACCAACTGACTTCCCTTTGAAGAGCAGAAGGCCAGGGGGAAGGAGATAGGAATGTGTAGATTCTTTGCCAACCTAACATCTTGCACCACTCTAAGGCGAAACCCAATCTTGGGAGATGCGGGCCCCTTCCCTCGCCAGAAACTGGCAATTCTCAGGGCTCAAACCTTTTCTCCGAGATGTCTGCACGCCCCGCACAACCTAACCTTGGTTTGAATAAGGGAGATGGTCTTTCAATTCTCACCCGTAGGAAGTTCTGGGTTCCTAAGAAAGACGTCCTGTTAAATAAGGCAAACCACTCTTTGCAAGTGGAGTCTGTCAGTCCTCCACCGCAGACGCGCCACGTTTCTTAAAAAGTAGAGAGTCCTACCGCGAATCTAACCGACAAGATCACTGGGATATTCGGAACCTTGGAAATACAAAGAGAAGTGGAGAAATCTTTCCTAGTGGAGTTTGGGAGCCTAGGAGCTTCAAGGCTGTGTCCACAGAGGCCAGAGAAGACCGCGCCGCCAAAGCAACGCACGGGGGCGGGCACCCCCAAGTTGCTTCCCGCCCAACTGCCTCGGAACTCCGAAGGACCCAGCAGGTTTGCACCAGGGGCAGACAAGGCGGGGACACTCTTACGCCTGGACCAAGGCTGGGACTCGCTCTCAGTCTGGAACCCCGTCCCTCCCTCCCACCTCCCACCATCGGGCAGAACCCCCGCCCACCAGACCCTCCAAGCTACCCGCACGGCGATGGCGGTCATACTGCGCCGAGCTCTCGCCTCGCTGCTTCTAGGGCAGGCTGCAGCCGCCTGCGCCTGGGCTCCGGACCTTTCCTGGGGGCGGAGCGGGGAGGTTTGAGGGCGGGCGGGAAGGGAGGGGGCATTCAGAGCACAGCAATTAACCCCAAGGCAGGCGCCGCTGACCCCGACCGCCCTCCCGGCTCGTTTTACACTGAGTCAGCGGGGGCGGCCGGAGAAGCCCCCGGGGAGGGGGCGGCTCCAAGTGGGGGCAGGCCCGAAGCGGCGGACTGGGCGCGCAGATGCGAGGTCCGGACTGGAAATTGGGGAGGATGCCCCCGACCCCGAGTGCGAAAGATCAGGTCCTCCGGGAGGGGTTACCTAGCTGACTTTAGAGCCCGCGGTCATTCCTTGGCCCCCAGACCTCGAAGGACGACTTCTCAGGCGCAAATTTCTCAAGGGCTGGGGCGGAGGCAGCGGAAGGTCCTAACCCCAGCCGGTGCCTGCTAAGTCGGGTGTCTGGGGAAAGCTGGTGGGGTCCAGGGAGAGGAGGAACTTGTTGGCTCTTTGTTGACTTCACAACCCGCTGTGTGACCTTACGCTACTTGTTTAACGTCTCTCAATCTCCGTTAATAAATGAGAATATGTATGAAAGGTCGGGTTCTTTAGGTAAGTGTGAAAGGAGTGGAATTTAGTCAGTAATAACTTGTTTTCCTCCTGGGACATCTCAGGGGACGTCAAAAAGGCAAATATGCCAAAACAAAAATAATTGTTCCTTGACTCTCCTGGTGGAGCCTGTGTTTGTTTACCGGATAAAGATCTCCAGGAGGCACACATAAATGTCCCCATTCCAGCAGTGGGGGGGAGGAAAAGTCTGAGGCCTGATTCTGACTAAGATCCCCTTCCTCAGTTCTTGAAGTGTGTGTTGGCAGGAGGGTTCCTTGCATGAAGGAGGCAAGATCCTTTTCTCCTTAATTGTTGTTACAACCGAGAAAACAAAGTCACTGCTATCTACTCTGTTCCACTCATAGTGACCCCTCCTTGGGTTTCTGAGCCAGTATCTCTATGAAAGTGTTGTTGTTTGCTGTCAGAGTCGGCTGGACTCATAGTGACCCCTCCTTGGGTTTGCCAGGTGGTATCACTATGGAAGTAGATTGCCCAACCTTCCTTCCTGGCTGGTGGGTTTGAACCGCCAGCCTTCTGGTTAGTAGTCAAGTGCCTTAAGCACTATGCTATGAAGTAGATTGCCTCATCTTCCTTTCCAGGAGTGGCTGGTGGGTTTGAACGACTAGCCTTCTGGTTAGCATTCAAGTGGAGTAACTGCCTCAGAAACCCAAGGAGGGGAAACCCAAGGAGGGGTCGCTATGAGTCAGGCCAACTCGATGGCAAATAACAACAACAACAACAAGTGGAGTAAAACTATTTGTCTCAATCAGGCAGCTCCCTGTGACTTTATCCAAGGACGTTAAAGCTACAGCTTTTATTGCTGTTTTCCCTTCAAGAGCCACGTGAGAAAGGGAGGAAGTTCTGATTGTGCATTCTTAGTTGAATAATTATTTGATTCCATTACCACTTGACAGTCTGTAAAATTATTTAATCCAGTCCTGGGATTGACATATAGAGACAGACCACCCCCCCACCCTGGGGGGGGGGGCGGAGCTTACCAGTGCCCTTTCACATTCAGAGTGCACTAGAATGCAAGGACTGAAAATCAGTCTTCCTCCAGGGCCAAATTCTTGCCACCATTCTGCAATAGAATAACCTGGTTGTTGTTTGCTGCTGTCAAGTAGGCTCCAACACCATGTACAACAATGAAATGCTGCTCAGTCCTGAGCCACCTTCACTCTCCTTGGCATGCTCTTCCTGTCCTTTGTTGTGACCACTGTGTATTTTGAGTGCCTTCCAATCTAATCACCTAGAGGGCTTGTTAAAACACAGATTTCTGGGCATTTGACTGCTAACCAGAATGCTGGTGGTTCAAACCCACAAACCACTCCTGGGAAGGAAGGTTGGGCAATCTACTTTCATAGAGATATGGCCATGGAAACCCAAGGAGTGGTCACGATGAGTCAGAACCTACTCGATGGCACTGAGTTTGGTTTGGTTTTGGTGTGCCTAGAGTTTCAGACTGAGTAGGTCTGGAGCAGAGACTGAGAATGTGTATTTCTGATGTTGGGTTTAGGGGTCAGGCTTTGAGAACCACTGAGCTAAGGGAGAGGGCAGTTTGTCAGGCCCAGACAGGCCAGCCTCTGAGACCTCCTGTCCATGACCCCACTCTGTCTTCTCCCCTGCCCAGGTCCCCAGTGGCCAGGTGATTCTTCCTCTACAGCCTGAGGAGTGGTTCACCTTGGAGAAAGAAGGATCTGGCCCTGTTGGGGATCCCTTCACAATGCCCTAGAATGCTCAGTGGGAGGACCTTCTGGACTCCTGTTTCAGCATTCAGCTGACCAAGAAGGAAGTTCCTGGAATTAAAATCAAAAGAAGAAACTGTCTACTGAGTAATCCACACCCATGGTGTGCTTTCTAAGAGAGCCAGTGTATGCTTAGGCATGTTTGGGGAAATACTGCTCAATATGCTTTGTTAGGGTAGAAAGAATTAGAACATGTCTTGTCAGCAAGTTAGGGAAGCACTTAGAAATAATAAGGAGGAAGTGACTGCCCAGTTCCAATAATCGTATGGTCAAAGCAAGGCCTGGAACATATGCTAGGAGTCTGGGTGGACTTTGTGCTGAGGACCAGGACATCAAGTAAGTGAATTGGCCCATGGGCTGACCAAGTCTGTTCTAGAATCCTGGAGTCTCCTGGGTTTGGGCAGAGGGGAAGTAGCACTATCTACAGTCTCCCTTAGTGATAGGTCAACACCTGGATCCCTTCCTTCCTGCCCCCACCCCCATCAACCATACTGTTAGGCCAGAAATGGAGGCAGTGGTCCCCTACTCACCTTAGGCCACTCTCATCTCTCCTCTGATGAGAAAGACCCAGGTCTAATGGCAGGGTCACAGGTATTGATCAGTCAATCAATAAACATAGCTGTGAGTCAGTCAATAAGCACTCTCCTACCTCTGGGCCTTTGTACTAACTGCTCCTTCTACTGAAATATTCTTTCTCAAGGTATCACATCTAAGATTCACCACTTCATTCCTTTGAAGTCTCCTCAGATGTTACCTTATCAGAGAATCCCACCATTCTCATCTAAAACAGCACATTCCATTCTCTTACCCTTTACCTCATTTTCTTTTTCTTCATAGGTTTTATCACCACCACCACAAACAATACACACACACACAAATATTTGTCCCCTCTCCATCTACAGTGTAAGCTCCAAGAGGACAAGGATATTGCCATGTTCATTGGGATATCCCTGGTGCCTCGGACAGAGCTTGGTGTTGTGAGGACCACACGAGGTAGCATGTGTAAGTGCTCAGCTGAGTGCCAGGCAAACATAGGAGCTGAGTAGCTTTTGATGATCTCTATCACCAGTGTCCCAGGAGGGTCTAAATCCTTATGGTCCCTAGCCCTTGGGAACTCTTGATTGCTATAATGGCTCTATCTCTGCACTTAGCATTAGTATGAGGAAGAAGATTCCTATTCTAGAGTTTTCTTCTATGGGGAGCTACGAGGTAAATGGCCCATCCCACTGCAAGGGTTCAGGATCTGATTGGCGAAGCAGGGCAGGCACACTCCTAAGGTCAGACATAATAACAAGGAGTCTGATGTGCACAGTCCACTGGGTAGTTTTAAAGCTGCTTCGTGCCAGGGTGACTAATTCTCCTTGCCACCCAGTGCCTTGTACTTCTGACCTCTCCAGTTCTTGCCTTGCTTGTGGTCTTGGAGAGCAAGCGGCACAAGGCCAGCAGACTGCCTGTCTCCTCCTTACCTTCCCAAGCTGCCCTACTGTCCTGCGTCCACCCAGCCAGGTCCTCCTCATCTCCCAGCCCCCTCCTCATGTTTCCCTGACTTCAGGCATTTCAGTCCTTCCACACCAGGCCTCCTCCTGCCCTTTGCCTCCTCTGCCTGGAGCTCCAGCTATGCATTCCATCTCGTAGGAGGTGCCTGATTACAACACTGACCTTGTTTACAGCATTCTAGTGGGGCCAGGGCCAAGGGGCTTCCCCTGCCCTGCCTGTGCCTTCCCTCCTTGGTGCAGTGAGCACCACAGGTGTGATGTTTACCCTGTGTCTACAGAAAGGCCCTCTCCATCAAGCCCAATCTATCTGTACCCAGCTTTTGCTGGCTGAATGATGGCAGTGGTAGTGGAAGAAGGGTGACTGGCTGTCTCCAAAGCCATGAATGAATGAAGCAAGAGCTAGGTATTTTTCCTAAATGTTTCTATATCTCAGAAAACATGCCCCCAACCTTCATCCATTGCTAGGAATATAAAATGGTACAGGCTTTGTGGAAAACAGTTTGGCAGTTCCTCAAAAAGTTGAACATAGAACTACCATGTGGCCCATTAATTCCAATTCTGGGTGTATTCCCAAAAGAAAAAGCAAGAACACAAACTTAGAAATCTGTACACCAGTTTTCATTGCAGCCCTTTTCACAATAGCCAAAATGTAGGAACAACATGTCTTAGTTCTCTAATGCTGCTATAACAGAAATACAAGTAGAAGGCTTTAACAAACAATTTATTTTCTCACAATTTAGGAGGCTAGAAGTCTGAATTTAGAGTGCCGGCTCTAGCACACTTTCTCTCTGTTGGCTCTGGAGGAATGTCCTTGTCCTGGTTCTTAGAGATCTCCATGTGTCTTGGCATCAGTCTTCTTGTGGATTTAGGAGAGGTTCTCAGTGCACGGATCTTGAGTCCAAAGGATATGCTCCACACCCATCCCTTCCTTCTTGGTAGTAGTGAGGTCCCTCCCTACCCTACCCACGTCTCGTGCCTTGTCTTATAAGATAAAAGGAAAGAGCCCTGGTGGTGCCATGGTTAAGGCATTCAGCTGCTAACCAAAAAGTCAACGGTTCAAACCCACCAGCCACTCCAGGGAGAAAGATGAGGCAGTCAGCTTCCTTAAAGATTTACA